TAACTTAATAACATAAATTAATCATTTCGGCGATTTAGGACCACAATGAGAAATAACAACATCTTCAAATAATTATTTCTACAAATGACCATTTCTTTATATGCTACTTCTACAAAAGAACACTTCTTGAAATGACTACTTCTTTGCCCTCGCTTGAGAAGGGACTTGTGCCCAGCAGTGGAACGTATAATTGGGTTAATGATGATTTGTATTAGAAAGTAGAATAAAAAAGAAACTATACTACATTTCATTTGACTATCACAAATGATGACGTCACAAAAGATAAAACGAAGTAAACAAATGTAAAATATAAGTAAATAGATAATTACAAAATAAAACACCAACAGAACAAAAAAATAAAACATAAAAATAGTTCACAATAAAAGGGGCACTACAAGTTTAAAGATATGCATGTCGTGTGGCGCCATCTGCGTTAACCAAAGGGTCACTAACTCAGTATTTGCTGGAGAACGCAATTCAATAAAGAAATAATTAGACAACATAACATAGGTACGTTATTTCGATCCCAAATTAAGTAACATAACATTTATGTTATGGAAATTGGAAACGACGACTGTACCACAACCACCCAGACCCGAGGGAGTCCACTAACAGAGAGACATGGCGAGATACTGTTAGGCGAGCCACATCAGCCCCTAACAAACGTAAGTACTCCGTGATGACCACGACAGCTCCGTGTGCAACGAAAAAGAAGATTGCACGCCCTCGAAGAGCGCAGCTATATTAATACATACGTTACACTATTGACTTATAGTAAATTATACAATTTACAATTTTCTAATAATTGTAAATAGTATATTTCTAATAAAAATCCTAATTCCATAGCTCTGCAGCTTGATTTTGATTGCCTCTGCCGATCGGAAACATTTGACATTTCTAATCGGAACAATAGTTGTTTTAACTCACAAATTAGAAAGATACATCGAGTATATAACCAGAAATAGAGACGAAATAAGGGCCATATGTTCCTAGTAACACATTAGCGATACAGCTTTTATAAATATCAACTCTCGTTTGCACTGAAATATAGACAGGCCAACTACTGACCTGTGCGTACGTCTCCGTATATTCCAAAAAATATTCTGTATTTATTGTAATACAGATAATATCTGTAACAATGCCGCGCTGTTCTATTCGGTGGTGTAGGAAAAACGGCAAAACATCTAATTACAAAACAAACGGAATCACATGGAACGGAAGAGTCTCAATTCGACTGTATGTTCTTTTTTTTGTATGTATGTTACGCGATAACTCCGGTATATGTGAACCGATTTTCATGATTCTTTTTTTGTTGGAAAGGGGGTACTTCCATAGTGGTCCCATTTCATTTTGAAGAAAATCATCCACCTCGAAGGATGGCTGTTCACGCATGAAGATTCACTTTTATAAATAGCGCCTAACTTTAATTTAGGAGCAATTACTTTAATGATTGATTTTGCTATTTCTTCCATTCAAGACGTTTTTCTCTCAATATACTTTGAGTTTATTATCTCCAGCGTCAAGTCCTGTATAGTGGCGAACTTGGGGATATTTCAATAAAACTGAGCAAATAGACGTAATTCCACGTACTTTTGAGGTCGGTTTGTTTAGTACTCTGTACTGAGATTATTGGTTATATACTCGATGAGTAGGAATCTGCAAAATCAGGACACTGGTACTCCTTGTATACGAAATTCTCTAGTTTAAGATCAGGTAAATGATGTGATTGCCTGTCACGTTATTATTATACTAAAGGAAAAGTGGTTTTTGTAAACCGAATAGGGTTTAAAGGCCTATTCAGGCGTTATTCGCAACTGTGGATAACGAAAGAAATCCGAATGGGTACGTGGTATTCCCACTGTTTCCACAACTAAGGGGATTATCGCTACCGCTGTGTGTAGCAAAAGCCATTATTTATTTTTAGTAGCTGTAAAGCTAGTAATAGTTACAGAGACGTGACCTTACCTATTTCTGCCGCCAAGCAGTAATGTTACCATTACTGCGTTCCGGTTTTGAAGGGTTGAGCGTTTGCCCCCTACGTATACGAATACGAATTGGATGCAGTGCACAAACGCACTAAGAGTGCTGGTGAAAGAACGGGGAAATATGAAAGTTGTCAACTGCAATGGCGTGGCTTAACAAAAGGTACACTCGGTCATTTGGTATCAAAAAAAAATTATCATTTATTATTATTATGTCAACTCGTCAGTGACTTGCGGGGTGTTCGGAGGTTCGCTATCCACAGCGGTAAGGAATAACACTTATATCTAAAGAGTCGATCGTCGTAAGCTCGAATGTAAACTTTTCCCGTACTAATACGGTTCATTTTGCTCGGGTCCAACGGTTGGGACGCTGGCTTTATTTCAAAATTTTTTTTTTACAAAAGATATTTAAACCATTTGAAAAGTGTAATATGTCGTAAAGTATACATGTTCTATTTAGTACAGTTGATATAAAAAAATAATTGGTAAATGTAATGCGGTTTTTAACCGACTTCAAAAAAAGGAGGTTCTCAATTCGTCTGTATGTTTTTTTTGTATGTATGTTACGCGATAACACCGCCGTTTGTGAACCAATTTTGATGATTCTATTTTTGTTGGAAAGAAGGTACCTCAGATGTGGTCCCATTTAAATTTCAAGAAAATTTTCAACCTCTAAGGGTGGCAAACTAGGGGATGAATGACTTTTGAGGTCGGTTTTTTTAACCGGTGGTTAGTTAGTCTTGTAAAGTTTCGATGTAAATTTAGTGTTTTTTTTTCTATCGTGAACATTTTTAGGCATCGTGTTTTCACACCGCAATTTTAACTCAATTTTACTATATTTTTTTTTTCCAAAGAGATTCATTACAAAGCTTTAACTGTTATGCGGGACCAAAGCCATTTGAGGTAGTATAGACTCTTAACAGACCTTAATTCAAGTGAAAGTCAGATGTTATCATTATAAAAAGGTATATTTTCTCCTTAGTTTTTAAATCATGTACATAGTCAACTTAATACTTAATGCTTAACCTAACGACCTGTTTACACAAGTTGTAAGTTAGAAGTTCCTTAACCTGTTAGATAAGTTGCACCAACTTTGAACTTGTCAAACTCACCAAACAATGTACATCGCTTACTACTTAGCTCGTGTAAACAGACTTTAACTTACGACTGATTTAGTCTACTTTGTTAGTCTCATTTCTGTTACAGGTAAGGTACTAATTAAAAACTAGACTTGTCAATGCCTAGGTGTTACTTTAAAATTAAGTAATTGCCTAAATTTATTTTTTTTAAAGTTGTGAGAATAGGTTTATCGTGATTATGAAAAATACTTTTTATTCTAGTCGGAGTGGATATAGGCGGTAAGATAACAGGAAAAAAAAAACAGGCAGGCAGCGCCACAATGGTGCTTCTATAAGGATTCTAATTTGAAGATACGTATTATAGAATATAAGTATTTAAGTAATTGTTTTCTTTACGCAAAAAGCGAAAAAGATTCATAGTAAAGGGGCTTGTAGTAAAAATTGTAAAAATAATTATTTCATCAAAGCAATAATTACTAAAAAGGTGTTTTGTGACAGATTTACACAAAAGAGATCTCATTTTAAGGCGAAACATAGAATTTCGTTAGGCCTGCTTTTTCTTATTCTACTAATAAATGTTACAACTGGAATGTAATATTTCGGTTTGAGATTATAAAAAAGCACGCGGTATAGAGATCTAAGTTAGGTAATAAAAGTAAATTATAACAAGAAAATTTCAAAAAGCACACCCGATTCCAAATAGTACATTTAAGGTAATTATTTTATGATGTACCTACAGTAACACGACCATAGTTAATGAAAAAAATAAAGTTTGAAACTTGTAATTAAGTATAGAATCTACGAAAAAAGTTTCCTTAATTTCTTGTCACCCTATAGAATTCTACTACAAATCGTATTACCTACTAATATTTATAAATACACAAATATTAATTCAGAGCATTGATCACGTGTGTTAAGCAAAAATATCAAAGTAATGTCGATCACAAAAATTTTTTTGTGTGATCAGAATATACAGGATGTTAACAAATTATGTCCGGAGACTTTTAAAGCTAAGTAAGCTAGATAATCGCAGTAAGTCGATGTTCTTTTTTCGAGAAATTAAAAAACTAAGTTAATTATGTACTAAACACATGATGTTTACACAGAATTATAAATGCGTTTTTTGTGTATGGAAATGTAACTTTACAAAGATATTAATTTTCGCACTGAAAATACAGAACGATGTGTTTCCTTACATTTACTTATTAAATACAAAAATTTGACAGATCTTCATTTAAGTATAAAATTACGCCAACCGTAATATTTTCAATGTATAAATAATGATAAAACGGAACTTGTGAAGATTTCAAAATCTATCGACCTAGCCTCTTAATTGACCGGAAAATGTTTTATAAGACGCACACGCAGGTCAGAGTACCTACAAAAACCCACTCAAAAAGAACAATTTGTAAATTGAAACACAATTTGCACAAGATTAGAAAGCCCATCAAAAAGACAAAGAATTAAATATGCCAGTAAAAAACAGTTGAATGTAAAATATGGCTTTAACACATAGGTACAAGATATAATAAGACCGTAGGTATATATACTTAACATATTAAAGAGCAGATTACATTAAACAGCTTTAGCTGCGTTATTCATTACGTTGATTACATACTTTGCTGTAAGAAATGTACATATTTTTTTTATTTTTTTTATTTTTATTTAGCAAAGTATTCAAACTTTGGTCTAACTCCAGCTTTTAAACACACAGACATTATGAAAGACTTTTTATTAGTATTTCCTTTTAATTATTTACATTTTGTTCTTTGACAGATCACTTGTCTATTTACAATAAATATTAAGATTTCAACAAAAAAAAAACTTTTTGTAAAAAAAAAACAGAAATATATACAAAGATCTGCCGATATAACAAAGCCAAACATGTCTCAAAGCTATTACTCATTGAAACTCTAGGGTTCTTAGCACTTTTCAAAAAGCCTTTGTAATTTAAGGCCAACAAAAACGCTCCTGAACGTAAACCTGTATCCACACACTATTTTTGCAGATTACCTATAAAAATGTGTGTAATTTCCATTATTTTCTAATCAATATGGCACATGATGCGCAAGACTTTTTGCCATTTTAATTAATAATAGGATTTAACCGCCACCATTTTGAATAATCACTCAACGTTGCAAAATGGCGGATTTCAAAACCTATTACCTCTTGAATTATTACGGTCTATCCTTTGAAACAGTGCTTAGTTTGTTACTTACGTCTGCCGGCAATGAAACTCAAGAGATCTTCAGTGAAAGGATAACAATGCAGCGTATGCGCACTTAAACTAATAACTGTACAATTATATAACTAATTTCAATAACACTAAAGCTTATCTATAAATATTTACATTAAAACCTATGACTTTTAAGTTACTTAGCACTAAATAACAATGACTTGTAGTTTTTAATTAATATTTGTGCGTAAAAACTATGTTTGCCTTAAATAACACCTTAATTTAACATAAAAGTAAAATCAGTTCTTTACACAGCAACGATCTTGCTAGGATCCACCTTAACCCTTAGAAACATGACATCATCTTTAACAAAATTCCTTTTCTTCAGCATTTCATGGGAGACGAATCTCGGGAATCCGAAACCTAACGCATCAGGTTCCTTTGAAGGTCTTTGAAAATTCTTCCATGTAGGATCAGGGACGAAGCTTTCCACAATATTGCAGGCTCGGTCTGGGCTTGAACTCTGGTCAAAGAGGGTGAAGGAGACTGTATGGGCAAATGGCCAACGGAGTAGAGCATCATATTCTCCTGGTAAAATCTTGATGTAGACTGACATGTGGGTTGCTTCGCCTGCCCCATTGCCGTTGAGGAAGAGTGATGCCTGGAAGGTTAATGTTGATGTTATTTTCGTGTGAATCACTAATCGGTAGATACCATAACAAAACTTGACACACAGTTAAGTTGCAGGCATTTCAAAAGTTTAAAAAATATTAATCCATTGTAGACTTTTTATTTTAGCACCCAGTATATTATTATCTCCAAGAATTACACAATATGATAATATATCGATGAGCAATAAACATGTGTCTCATATCTTTGTTTCAGATCTTGGGTCATCGTATCTTCAATCTAATTTTACACTTAACAAAGTTCAAAACCTCTGTTAGCACATATGAACATGAACAAATGGGCCGTCAAAGCACATGTCCCTGTTGCTGAGTAAGCGATGCTAATTCGAACACGGCACTTAGTCATTCCATTATACGTTCAGTCAAAATAACCTTTACGCATTGTTGACTAACAGAAAGGAGAAAATTATCATTTATGTGGTATTTTCGTGAAAGTAACTGCTTTTTTTTTCAAACTTTACATTGGCCTTATTGCTTTAACCTACATTTCTAGAAGTTAACACGGATAGATACAGATAATTTTATAGGTAAAATCTTAGATAATAACACATAGAATGATAGTTTCATATCAAACGAACTGCAAGTGAGGCAAAAATCAAATTCATGTAGGCTAGTTTTAGTAGTAGGTTAATTTTCGGTTTTAGTGAATATTTATATAAAAATACAAGTTGAAACGCGTTACTTCCTTGTGGAATGTGATATTAGTATCTATTTTATGTTTGTCTGACGTATTATTACACTCATTTACCGCACATTTCGTCATTTTTAGCTAGAATTCTGGAGCTGTTCGCGGTGCAAGTTGACCTTGAGCACTGAAGGCCCGCCCGCTCGAGTAGGCCCTTTGGGAGCGCTTCAATTTGCCTCACTTAGCGTATGCGGGATAGGTTTCTATGCGTTATTATTCTAAGGATCCTACATTCAAAGTTCCCAAATATAACAATGAAACGAAACTTCTTCTCTATTTATTGAACATTAAGTATGAGCCATCAGCATTAAACTGGTAACAAATATTAAAAAACTGTAAAAAATAATTTGTGTAAAAACTATAGTAGCAAAATTTTTCGTCCTCCGGGACAGGCTAAGGCATCTATCCATACTGCCAAATCTTAGATCCAATTTTTCTTCAACTTTTCATTTTATTAAGACGAAGCCAAATCTTCAGTGTGTAAAAAACTAATTACGAAATTCCTCCATTTCTTTTTTCTACGGATGCTCCGTTTTTTTTAAGTTCTTTATAGTGCAAATCTTTGAAACATAGTAAGTAAAAAAAATTAACATAATAAGTAGTGCATATGACGAGCAAAAAAAACGTAATAATTAGATATACATAGAGGTAGTAGATAAATATGTTTAAGAATTTTGTTTCGCAGTATTTAATAAATTGCTTTGCTTACAAAATGATTGAATAAAATAGCGCTTGATAAAAGACCCTAAATTTCCTTCTGTATAATGCAAAAAAATAGGATAAGACCGATATGATAAGACTATGTAACTTAATAGAGATATAGAACGTCCCAACTATAGAGTTCGTTATTTCAATATTATCAGAAATAAAATCCAAAAGCTTACCTGCAACTTATATCCATACTGGCTGGTATAAAACGCTGGAGAAATTAGCTCGACTCCATCCTTGCATTTTGCCTCAGCCATTTTCGCAGCCCAGTCCGTGATCCTCCAGACAAGGACTCCTGAGCAGTTGACCGAGAGCCTGGCTACAGCAGCTCGGAGGGATTCCAGTTGCCTGGCCTGGCGGGATGCGAGGGCTGAGACGAGGGCGAGGTGTTGTTGGCAGGATTCTTCTGTGTGTCTTTCTAAAGCTGGTCTTGTTCCCTATAAAAGAAATAGAGCTTTTAGTTATAATTTGGTTCCAATTTTTATCATTAAGGTTATTTTAGTTGTTAGAGATAGATAGATTTCTTTTCTACTGGACTGGCACGCAAAAGCCCCGGGTTCGTTCGTTCGTTCGGATTTAAGTCATATTTTCGTTTTCTCCGCCGATTTCTGTCAGAACCGTGTTTAAAGAGACGGTACTCATAATCTCAGATTGGCTTTATCATTTAATTAAATAAAGATTATGTATATTATTTTTATTGTTTGTTGTTTGAGGTTGAGACATCTCACATTTTCTGAGGGTTGTAAACCTTCTTCGCCGCTTAACTGACTCTGTGGCCGAACGGTTACCATGACTGCCACGCAGATGTCCCAGATTGGATTCCCGGGCCGGGAGAAATATTTATATGGCCTACATTTATTGCTCTCGTGAATTTGGTGTTATTTGTGGTGGTTTAAGTGTATGTCCATGGCACCCGCCATACATGTTTTCAAATAAACTTGAAAGCTATGCAATACACTTTGAATCATATCTTTGTGGAATCTATACATATATCGTCTTTCCATACATGTTGAAAATGAAGGCGAGAGTAATTATTTGGGTGTGCATGCATGCTCCGACTGGATGCAAATCGAATTTAATTATTTTTGACAAAGCAACCAGTCCCGGTATCACATGATACTCGGATTTGGTTCCGATGCTACAAACCCCGTCGTAGCCCTCATCGTCACTGTCCATCAGGTGTGATGGAGGTCAATTGCGCTTTTATTTTTTAACCGACTTCAAAAAAGGAGGAGGTTCTCAATTCGACTGTTTTTTTTGTATGTATGTTACGCAATAACTCCGGTATTTGTGAACCGATTTTCATGATTCTTTTTTGTTAGAAAGGGGGTACTTCCATAGTGGAAAAAGTAGAAATCATCCACCTCTAAGGGTAGCTGTTCACGCATGAAAATTCATTTTTATAAATAACGCCTGAATTTTCTTAAGGAGCAATTATTTTAATGGTTGATTTTGCTATTTCTCCAATTCAAGGCGTTTTTCTCGCAATATTCTTTGAGTAGTGAGAACCGATTTTTATTATCCTCAGTGTGAAGTCCTGTATAGTGGCGAATTTAAGGATATTTCAATAAAACTTAGCAAATAGACGTAATAATAACGTAGACTTTTGAGGTCGGTTTTTTTAGTTCGCTGTGCTGAGATTATTAATAAAAAAGGTATGTTCCTAATTTAGTAAGTTTCTTCGTAACAGGTTTGCGCAATTTTATAGCCATACCAAATGGTGCAACCATAAGATCAAACCCAAATTAAGGCGTGAGCATTAAAGTTATCATAATGGAATTGGTCCCATAAATAAATTGCGACCAAGCGACCTACATTAATATTATTGAACTACTTCAAATCGTCTTTAACCGTGTTGCAGCTACGGATTTTGGGTTTACGACTTCGCCGTGCTGGTGTAAATACTGTGGTAAATTTTTTATGACATAGTAACACGATACATTCATGAATGTTTTTTATAACTAGATTCGGTCACTGGCGAAGTTTCGACTTGCAAATGATGTATAAAAACCAAACTAATGTACAATGTGGAGGCAGTTGTTAACTTTGTATTAGATTAAATGTTCATCAAATCAAAAAATCATTTACTCCATAGGTAAAATTAATTTATACTTGAAAACATTGTCTTACAATTATATGGACGTCGGGTCCGCGCTAAAAAGTGTCCGAACTTATAGGGCGTTAAAATCGTATACAGAGCGTCATTCACGCTTTAGTCTTCGTTTGTTCGACTGACAGCGAAGCAAGCAAAATTAGACAGTACTGCGATGACATTACAATTTAAATTCAACGTTTTAGCTTTTTCATATTCCTTTACATGTCACTACGTTTAAATAGATTGACTTGGGACATTTTTTTGTGGTTTTTTTATTAGACCCGTCGTTCATTTATTTGTAAGTCAATGCTTGAAAACGTAATTTTTTAAGCTACTGGTAAGGAAGAAGGTTGTGAAAAACCTCGTTCATGGTAGTACTGCCATCTTACCTATGTCTGCCGCCAAGCAGTAATGTCAACATGACTGCGTTCCGGTTTTGAAGGGTAAGGGTGCTGGTTAGATTACAGGTACATAGGACTTCTTAACTTATGTCTCAATGTGACACAGTTAGATCTTTGCGATTTAAAGCTCTGAGTGGCACTGCAAATGTTATGGGCAGGCTTATAGCTTACCATCAGGCGCACGACTTGCTCGTCCCGTCACTTGATGTTATTAAAAAAATACTGCTCATTCACTATACGGACTTCCCTGAGAAAAACGAGCTAGAAACTGTAGTTGGGAAACGTCTCTTTCTAACATGTAGGTAATCTTCAGTTGTGTAATATGAGTTTTCAAATAAAATTCTTTTAATGTAAGTTTTAAACTTAGTAAATGATAATCTTAAAGACTAGTAGCTAGTTATTTAATATCTGTCTTTTAGAATAATCTAATGTACAACTAACCCGACAACGTTTGAGAATACAGCACCCTAAAAATCAAGTTGTAACAACCAGGAAGAAGTGGTACGTTGAACGACATACCTTAAACCTGCACCCGGCGTCCCTGAAGGCGCAAGCCACACCGGCCGCGGCGCAGTGGTCGCGCAGATGCGAGTCGAGCTCGTCCCGCGGCACAGCTGTAACTGCGCAGCGCTGCGGGCAGGGGACGGGTGCCCGTGCGCAGGTCGCGCCGTGCGCTGCCACCGTGTCCTGTTTGGAATTAAACTAATTTAAGTCATATGTTCATTTTCTCCGCCGATTGTAAATCTGACTTAACAGAATTCATTGTTTTTATCATAAGTGTATCTTGTTTCTCAACTACTTATTTTGCGACTCTTGCTCAATGCCGGTTAGACAGATAGATAAAAACTTTATTCACTTCCATGACAACTTGTTTACACAGGATCCACTAAAAGTAGCACCACAATTATTATTATATTGAGCCACTTAACTAATTAAAGTAAATGGTTTTGGAAGTCATAGCAGTGAAAAGGCGCTGGCTCAGCATGCCGCGGTTTACCACGACGCTGGTATTCTGCCAGAGCCGTGTTTATAGAGACGGTACACATCATCTCAGATTGGCTTTATCATTTAATTAAATATAGATTTTTTTTTTGTTGTTTGTTATTTGAGGCTTCTCACATTTTCTGAGGGTTGTAAACCTTCTTCGCCGCTTTACTGACTCTGTGGCCGAACGATTACCATGACTTCCACGCAGAGGTCCCAGATTGGATTCCCGGGCCGGGAGAAATATTTGTATGGCCAACATTTATTTCTCCCGTGAGTTTGGGTGTAATTTGTGGTTGTCTATGTTTGTGTCCATGGCATCCGCGCCACAGGGTTTCCCTAGTGCGGGGCTATGTTGAATGTGTGCGTTATTATTATTATTATTCATCATCATGTTCTCCTTCACCAAAAAGCTCATGGTAAATTTCACATTAAATCTCTTACATAAATTCTTAGAAACTCAAATTAGACTACCACCGCTTTTTTAAATTAGGACATACAACATGAAATTTATATATGTAACATGTACTCCCGACAAAAATAGCAACTAGTCTTTTCACCTGAGTATACCGCTGTCCGCAATGGCGGCAAGGCACCAACCGCTTGCTGCAGTGCTGTTGCACGTGCTGCTGCGTGTGTCTACGCTGCACCTTAGCGCCGCACTTGTTCTCGCAGTACACAGGCTCGTGTCCGCAGTTTCCTTGGTGTTCCTGAAAAGGGATTATTAAAAGTTTTTTAGGAAGTCGTGTAGAGGCATCGAGTATATAACCAGAAACATAGATGAAATGTCATTTAATTTATTTGAAAACTATTCTGCCAAATCATTACGGTGACAACTGCGCTCCGATTGGCCAGCACGAATTCGAATTACATATTTAATTACCGATGAAATGTGATTCCGTTTGTTTTGTAATTAGATGTTTTGCTGTTTTTCCCACACCACCGAATGGAACAGCCCCCCATTGTTAGAGATATTATCTTTATTACAATAAATACAGAATATTTTTGGAATATACGGAGACGTACACACAGGTCAGTTGTTGGCGCTGTACTATTTCAGCTTTCTAATTTGTGATTTCAATGCAAACGAGAGTTGATATTTAAAGGTGATATAAGGCCCATTTGCCTGATAAGTTGCCAGGGATGGATGGTTCTTATTTCGTCTCTATTTCTGGTTATATACTCGATGTGTAGTAGAGTAATAAAAATATCATGGCAGCAGCAGCTCAAATGCTTTGTTTTTTATATCTTTTGTTTAGATGTATTTTCTTCTATACTTATTCTAACATAGTATAAATAAGACAAGACGTATGGTAACTCCGTACAAATAGCGACAAGACTTATATGTGTGCAAGCCCACAGCGCACCGTGTATGGACACACTCATTTGCATAAAAATTAAAGGCGCGTGATACGACTAGGGTCCTAAGTCTGTTAATTTTAAATCATCTTCATCAATTTATGTGTGTTAAGTAGCCGATATTCGCCCAAGCTATAAAATGACTAAAAATCAAGGAAAACGATTTTACAATTCTGCTTGCTGCCGGAAATTGAGGTATATGAACTCTGTTATTTCCCCAATACCCCACGTAGAAATACTCTCACCCCCAAATGAGTTATTTTACTACTTCATTTCCCACAAAATCCCCAATCAAATTTGTAATACCCCAGACATTTTATTTTCCATTTCCTATTTCAAACATAGCCTAAATATCGCCAATCACATTTTTAGTTGCCGCGCGACCCCTCTACTCTGGCACCACTGGTGTCGACAGAGTGTCATGACAAGATTTTGTAAGTTTGGTATTCTGCTAAACTTGTCCGTGGTTCGTAATTGAGTTACTATTCAACAGCCATTGCAATTTTTTGGTATTCTGCTTTTCAATGTCGAGTCGAAGCCACGTCGATAATATTATACTTAATTAATTTGAAAAATAAAATTGTTGAGTAAAGGAGACAATGATTGAATGAATGAATGCTATCACTGCCATCCCACCGGCATCATAATTGCAATATGATATCAGTGGATTTTCAATGTAATTACAATGGTCAGTACAAGAAAATTAGTAAAATTGAAGCCCAGGGTTATGCAACGCGAGTGCATCGAGGGATGTGAATGTGTGCGTCCGTACACGGCTCTCGGCGGGCGCTCCCACAAACAATTCCTATTGCTACTTTTCTATGAAGTTTTCATACTAGTTTTATTATTATTTTATGTATAGAAGGAGGCAAACTAGCAGACGAGCCACTTGATGGGATGTCATTGAAGAACCTCATAACGCAAAGGAAATACGTCAGGAGGAAGATTATTCCACTTCTTGCAGGTTCGAGGAAGGAAAAAGAGATGCTCGCGTGGTCTTACAATGCCATGCATCTAAGATGTGGGGATGGCACTCTCCACTATAAAGACGGTAGAACACACACAGATAGACAACGTATCTCCGTGGGCTATGTTCCTAATGTCCGTTTCTTCCCAAACAGTATTAGTGTCTTCGTTCATTTGAAATTCTGCAGAAACCTTCTGTTACATGTTATAGGCATCTAATTTGTGCAAGATGTTAACTGGTAGTTAAAGTCACGCAGCAAGCATCAAACGGCGATTGAACTTGATTTATAAATATCGAGGAATGGCTAATGGTATTCTCTTAGTTCGTAACAGCTTGGTTCGTAAAATCTGGTGCAACAGTTCACACTACGCCAGAAAAGTTTGTCTTATTGCTTCACTGCTCTGATTAGATAATAACCGACTCGTGTTGGGTACGTTTTCATGTGTGGCTACACCTGAAACGGACTCCCAAACTGGGGTCAGGACCTGACTGAGCAGGTCCCTGTGAGGGTTTGCTTGCACAGACTATAGTGCCCTTCCCGTACAATCAAGAGTTTGATAGGGAAGGCCACGATAAACTAAACTTACGTAGAAAAGATATGGGAACTGCGCTGATTAGATTTTCATGAAACAAGTGAGCAACATAGCAAATTTAAAGGTCATTGATACAAGTTATCTATCTGTGCTATTTACATTCAAAATATTTATTCCGGTCTAGATATCTTTCTAGAGTCCTATTGGAAAGACCAGTATTTGATACACCATTCTCAAGGTCAGGTATTTGTCGATTATATAACGTTAATTTTTATAAAGAAATTTCATATCCTGTCCTCCGTATTTTAGAACAGGAAAAGTATACACAAATTGGTTTTGGAAATGTATTGGATTTAATAACTGATTTTGAACTTCAGTTCATCTAAGTTTGTCCCTTGGATCATTCCTTCTATTCGCCAGAAAGATTCTTCACAGCTTACCTCAAGAGCGCTCCCGGAAAACTCTTTCCCACAATGTTCGCAGTTTGCCCGCCTTCTTGGACAGGTGTATCTGAGATGATCTTGCATCAGAACGCGCGGGATCATGGCGCCACACTGCGCCGCGCACAGAACCGCGTCGTGCTTGCACGTGTTCAGGTGCGCCTGCGCATACAAAATGTTGCTACGGTTAGTTTGTTTTAAGGCTGTTTAAATTGTGTTTGGTGCACTAATGCGAGCAGTGTCGCAGGTTTTGAAGTCGATGAAAAATGTAGCTAAACTGCTTTATTTATGAGTCTTTGTCTAAGAATGTTCCAAACAATATTTGGTATATGAGATATTTGATACAGTTCATTTCGACGCTATGACAAAAATAGAGATATGTTGAGGTGGTTTAGGTAGATGGAGCTAATAAAAGTAGGGTGGCGAAGGAGATATATACCTATTAAGCGTAGAAGGCAATAGTGGAAGAGGACAGCCACGACAGACGTTCTAAGATCAAATTGAAAAATCCTGTAGCGCGTAGGTAGTCAGAATATAGCAGAAGAGATTCACAAGGAACCACCACATGCACCTATGGCCATTGTAGCATAAGTGCGTTTCCTATTGTATCCGATTCATATACGTTCCGAATCCAAGACCATACAAATCTAGAAAACTTGGACCCACTTCGGATGTCGTTTGTTAACCAAGTCTGGCTCGAATCCCAGAAAATACGAATAACATTTGGAAACGGGAATAAATGCGTTCAATTACAGAATACGGACGCCATTATTGTTGTGTGTGGCGGTAGTTTGAAAAATATAATGCGAGTGGATGGAGATGTAAGCACCACACACCAGTCAGCCCGTGACCACGGCCAGTGCAACTTAGCAGAAACGTCTGGAAACAAGGTGTGAAAAATACCTATTCGTATTTAAACGCGCTTATTCCCGTTTCCAAATGTTAGTACAATGCAACGCGAAAGTTTAAAAGTATATAATACTAATATTGCTTGTACACTTAGAGATAAAATGATCCCTGTGACATTTCGGACCTTTCTCGTAATTCGGAAATGGGAGTCAACTGTTCACCGTCCGAAACAATAAGTAATAATGCTCGACCTAATCAAACATTGACTTACAAATAAATGGACGACGGGTCTAATACAAAAACCACGAAAAAAATGTCCCAAGTCAACCTATTCGAAATTTAAATTGTAATGTCATCGCAGTATCGCGCTGTCAGTAGAACAAATGAAGACTAAAGCGGAGTTTGGCGCTCTGTATACAATTTTAGCGCCTTACAAGTGCGGACACTTTTTAGCGCGGACCCGACGTCCATATACATAATTGTAAGTCAATGTAATCAAAAGACGAAGTATGACGTTTCATTCGCATCATATGTCTGTCAATGCGGTCGACTGTTACGAAAATACAGGGCCTGATATGGATCGGACAGAGTATGCAAATGCTCTCATACCCATTGACGTTGACGTAACGCTCCATGGAGAAGTTAAAATCCAAATTATTATTGTAAATACGAAACTTTGTCCGTCTGTCTATTATGTTTTCACGCCTAAACCGCTGAACCAGTTTTGATGAATTTGGGTATAAAGATAGATGGGACCTAGGAGAAAGACATAGGCTTAAAGAGGATGAAAGTTTGTATGGAAAACCAATAAAACTATGAGAATTGGTACAGTAAGTTACCCAAAGTAACAATAAATAAGCTAGAGCACTTGTGTTATGGAAATTGGAAACAACGATGGTACCACAAACACCCAGACCCGAGATAATATAGAAAAGTTAGTTTCTGCACTGACCCGGCCGGGAATCGAACCTGGGACCTCTGAGATGGCGACACCTTGAAAACCGTGTGCAAGCCACTCGACCACAGAGGCCGTCAAACGAAGTGCTTATTCTACGCAAATCAAGTCGCGGACACCAGCAGAGTTTTAAATAAATTTATATTAACTTTATTATTCATGTCGGAATTAGATAAAATTATCTCATTAACATTCTTGTCAGTTTTTAAATATGTGACAGCTTTACTTCCTTTTGATAATGATAAACTAAACAACAATCAGTCAACACTGGCGTGTTAACTATTGCTGTACAAATGATCAAAATGATATTTATATAGAGATAACATTTGTTGAATCATCAAGTAGATAGAGAATTTTGATCGATTGAGTTATTCACAGGGTTTTTAAACGGCTATGACGTGCCACACAACAGTCTATAAAGTCCAATGTGCAGGTCTGTCCTAGAAGAGGTGTGTCAGAAGGTCGTGAATGTTTAGAAAAAAAAGGTACTTGTCGATAAATTTATTTCATTCCCAAAAATGAGTAAATAAGAAAAATACACACATTTTACGAAAAAATATTCGATATCTGAATTATTCTTGGACGTAATTACTTAACGTTTAAGTTATTATATTTAATTAAGACAAAGCGACCTGAAAACAGGCCTTAAAAAGTCTAGGAATTCCGGATAGTATATTTAATTGGCCTAATTTGAAGAACAAACACCTCAAAATAGGCCAACAGACATAACCAGGCATGTATAATCAAACGTAACGTAGACGCCTACAATGTTATACAAAATGCTGCATTCAACAAAATAGAGCGGGATAAAAACTTACCTTTAGTTTACGTAATTCGTCTGACCACTGGCATCCTTCTTTATGATGGATGCAGTAGACCACAGATCCCATAATAGCCTTCTCCGACTCCGGATCCGGGTATATCTGTAACAAACAAACATACATTCAAATATTGTACATTTTTTTAAAAATTTGAAAAAGTCCTCAACACTCATCACCTTTTTTAATTTAGCTAGTAGCTTTTTAAACATTTTGATAAATATTTTGTAAGTTACAAAACACAACGTCAATAGCAACTGGTAGAGCTAAGACTGATTGAAGCGCAGCCACACCAGCCTAACGGATTAAATAGGACAACGTGATTATAAATAAACCAACTAGAAAAAAGAGAATATCAAACAACGAGCTACGCACCGTGCGTTCGAATATGGAGCACATTGAAAATATGCAAAATGGCGGCGTTGGTTTTTCGCGCGCAATCCACAGGAGTGCTCGACCCAAGGGCCTGATACTAAATGAATGCTATGCGTTCCTTTTTCGTTATCTTTATGGGCGCAACGAACAGATGGCTGGCTACGGACCACCGTTCCCTTGTTTGCATCGAGATAAGCGTGATTTTTCACTTCCCAAACCAGCTGGGTAATGAAATGAGCAAATAAACTTGTTAGATTCTTCTGAACCAGTTTCTTTTCACATGCTCAGGCTAATTTCCTCGAAAGAATATGAAGTATTGACAAGATAATACTACTGCATATGTACAGACGAAGCGTCGTTTGAATAATAAAGGCGCATAGGTATATGAATTTGTTTGTAAACAACGTTGGAAGCTGCTATGCGAAGCATCTGAGTAGATGCAGAGATGTCACTAGCGGCCGCACATGGCCTCAGATCTCTAAACAAACTGCCGGCTGTCAGAAACGCTGACTTAAAATACGGCTTACATTGAACTGTGATCATTCACTCGGTGATGGGCCGCTAAGAAAAATAAGCGTTGGATGGGACACAACCTGAAGTGTAAAAGATCAAAACGTTCTCGTAGTACGAGATGTTCTATTTACAAACATTGATGCATGTGGTCATCGGCATAGCCTGTCGTACCTTAGGATCTATATTCAACACGAGTGAAACAAAGTACCTAATACTAAATGTCAACACAAACAACTGTGTGTCGTAAAGAGTAGTGTTAGGAGTGAAAATTGAAAGAAACATGGCGTCGATGTTGGTATAAATTTACAAATATAGAATGTTATTTGTGTCGTATTCTAAAAAGATGGACTGCGATGTGTTGAACTCTCCCGCGTCGCTCAATTATAGAACTTGTTGTATCGTAAACATTGCCGGATTAAAACGTCATAGGACATCAAGCGCGCAAGGCGCATACGTCATTTCAATTCTCATCCAATCAGAGAAAAACGGCTCAAAGAAAATGAGGATGCTTCTCTGCCATTCGTGAGATATCATTCGTTATGGCCTGACGTTAACTGCTCTGAATCCATAGATGTTAAAATTAGTTATAACTTACAACATTCCCACAAAGGACACCATTAGGATTTAATTTACGGTTGTTAATCAAATACAGACGTTATATGTAAATGATTTGAAAGATTACGAAAGGCAAACAAAATCTCGGCACACCTACACGAAGTATTCATTATAATTACTTTTAATTAATTAAACATAAACTAAAATGTGTGGAGGCGGTTATTTAGTAAAACATCATCTTTTGCGGCACCCAGCACTTTCTTGGCGCCGAATAGTTCACATTCCTAACATAAAATTGTAAGATAATTTAGGTTACGTTGAACCTACAGTTCGTAATAGTTCCAAACATCGCCATCATCTGTTCTAACAGTGTATAGCAGTAGAGCTTCTTGTAAAAGAGTCCGTCCAGGGAAATACTACCTTATCTATTTCTGCCGCCAAGTAGTAATCTGAGCAATACCGCTAACCAGTTTCAAAGTGTACTTGTCAACTTATGCCTCAGGGTGACGGACGCAGTGGCAGTGCTTCTCATATCTTAAAAATCTGACTGGCACTGTAAATGCTATGGGCAGGCGTGTCGATTACTACCAGGCGCACAGTTTATTCATCCCGTGGCTTAATACAATAAAAAAAAAGAAATTATAGTTAATGGCGAAAGGTGGAGAACGTTTAGCATTAAGTACAGCTAATGTCGTGTTATTGTCGCGTCATAGTACGAACTGCGTGAATGAATAGTCACAAAGCTGCCAATAAAACATTATAGTTTTAACATTATAATAAGCTTACTTTAAGCGCGTCATGAAAAGTCAATGTAAGGTTAAAGTAATATTGTTTTAAAAGGTTGTGGTAGGCTCCCTGCACGTTAAAAACGATTTATAATTCTTGGATACCTGTAAAGTCTCCAACCCGCATTGTGGTGGCAGTAGGACGTAAATATGTTTGTATAGTATTAGGACTAGGCATCATTGTAAACCAAAACAAACATACTTTGTTTACGATCAAGCAAACTGAACTTAAAAGGTTATAAACAAACTAATTGCAAAGCATTACCTAGTAAAACACCCACGGGATTTAACTTGCTTAAGAAGCGCCTACGCAAACCTTCAACGGACCTTGGGTATAAAATCTTTATAGATTTTATTAGACAGATAGGTACTTGATGTTGATATCACAAATTTCGTAATAGTTACTTTTGATATTAAGTTACGATAACCAAGGTAGTTACGTGGGAATTTATTTTTGAGGTAAAAATATTTAGTTCAGCATGAGTTAAAATTCTTTCATTTTTAAATACAACATTAGATTTTTTTTATAATATCAAGTGACGGGACGGACAAGTCGTGCCACTGAAGGGAAGCTATACGCCTGTCCATAACAGTTGCAGTGTCACTCAGAGCTTCAAATCGTCACCCTGAGACATAAGTTGTTTCATGTGCCTATAGCTTCACCAGCACCCTTACCCTTCAAACCCGGAACACAGTAATGTGAGCATTACTGATTGGCGGCAGAAATAGGTAAGGAGGCAGAACTTCCCTGGACTCTTGACTCCTGAACTCTTTCACAAGGACCTCTAATATATATTATATATATAGTTTTTTTTGTGATAAGTTAATATAAAATATACGTGTTTTAATTATTTATTGTGGTGATCTACACAGTGGGATGTATAAAAGGATTGATATTGATGACTAGTAAAGACTTTAGTTTCCTGTTGCTCAAGAAATATTGGTAAAACTAGGTCATTTAAATGCACTAACAATGAACACTAATACAAATTTTTTTATCTTACCCAAAAAAAATCATTAATACAAATTTCTTTATTTAAATTTACATCTCTACAGCACTCTATTCCGTTAATCATAAGGTTGATAGTTGTATCTTTGAATAATTTCTAAATTTGTAAAGCCGCTAGCACAAATTATTTGCGTACACGCAATTGTTGTGTTAAATTTACTTGACGACCCAAATGTATCCGGTTGATAATTCGCGTTCAATTACGGCTATATTTAAACCTTTTGCCATAATAAAGTCAGTTAGTCAATTTGCGTTGAACTTTGAGAGCTTTTTACATTGACTTTTTTTTTAAATTATAATAAGCTGGTCGACACAACCTTAAAAGGCTTTTGGTAGATTCCACATAATAGCGAAAGCGTTGAATAAATCACTTTGGAAAAAATATATAATAAAATTGAGGCTATACACTGATTAGTCTAAAGTGTGAAAACACAATTACTAAAAATTTTCACGATATAAAAAAACACAAACTTACCTCGAAATTTCACAAGAGGTACTTTACATATACCATTGATTTTTTTCAATATCAACTGAACTAAATAGAAACGTATAGCATTGACTTACAAATAAATGGACGACGGGTCTAATACAAAAACCAGGAAAAAAATGTCCCAAGTCAACCTATTCGAAATTTAAATTGTAATGTCATCGCAGTATCGCGCTGTCAGTAGAACAAATGAAGACTAAAGCGGAGTTTGGCGCTCTGTATACGATTTTAGCGCCTTACAAGTGCGGACACTTTTTAGCGCGGACCCGACGTCCATATAATTGTAAGTCAATGACGTATAGTATTCGTTTGTAAAAAAAAATAATTCTGTAATAAAGCCAGCGTCCTTGCTGCTCGAATGCAAAATGAACCATATTAGTACGGGAAAAATTTTAATTCAAGCCGAGGTAATATTGACTCTTAAAGGTATTGATGCGAGACGTGCCGCCGTTTGTACGAGTACGTAAAAGTTTGTCAAAATGATTTTTTTTTCAACTTGGATACATACAAGTGATAATAAAATCGTTGAAAAAGCAGTTTAATTACAATTTAAATAAGTGACAGATAAGTTAAACTTAGATAGATCACGTTTGAAAACGCTAAAATGCACGCATCCGCGAATTGAGATAAAAATTCTCGCATTCTCGTCGTTATGCGTTGTTAACTTCAAGGATACAGACTTAGAATAATAACGCATAGAAACCTAGTCCGCACACGCTAAGTGAGGCAAATTGAAGCGCGCCCAATGGGCCTACACGAGCGGGCGGGCCTTCAGTGCTCAAGGTCAACTTGCACCGCGAACAGCTCAAGAATTTTAGCTAAAAATGACGAAATGTGCGGTAAATTAGTGTAAAAATACGTCAGACAAACATAAAATAGATACTAACGTCACATTCCACAAGGAAGTAACGCGTTTCAACTTGTATTTTTATATAAATATTCACTAAAACCGAAAATTAACCTACTACTAAAACTAGCCTACATGAATTTGATTTTTGCCTCACTTGTGACAGTTCGTTTGATATGAAACTATCATTCTATGCATTATTATTCTAAGGATACAGATACATAGAGAGGAATATAACTTCCTCGGCCTTATATAAATATTTTATTCTATTTTTTGCGTAACTAGCAACAACTCTACTAAGGTCTATTTTTCTTTAAATTTTTGCTTGTTATTTTTATTAATACCCCGATTTTATTCTATATTACGTTATTCATCGCGGATATCCCATCCTAAAAATTTCATCCACGCCATTAAACTTGACCCTGGCAAAATTGTCCGCTAACCTAGGGTAGATAAAGTTGCCTTGAAAAAAAATAAAAAAATTCAGACGAATATATATAATCACAGTGGCTATTTGACAAGCAATCCTGAGGG